TGTGAAAAAAGAAGTCATGCGACTTAACAACAGATAGAGTTGATTTTAAAAAATGTATATGTAATTAGATGCATAATTCTTATGCATAATTTACATGCAATTATGTATGAAAATGAGATATGCACAGCCATAAATGGCTAGCTAAGCACCTCACACACAATCACAGTAATTTTACACAGAAATTAAACATGCAGTTGAAAACACATTTGAAAAAAATGAAGTCCCTAAGGAGTCCAATGGCTTTTGTGAGGAGGAAAAATCTGAATTTTTTCTGAGCAGAAATTATGTTAAATCCTCAGTCAGAAGGGGGGAGTAAACAGCATAGGAGCGAATAAAAATATAATTTAATATAAACCAGTTTATGTTCAGTTGTGGTAGAAGAAGCAAAACCAAACATACTTTATCATTTTTATGAAGTGTCAATCTCACTAGTGTAAATTCAGAAAATGCAGAGCAAACAGTGGTGTCAAGCTGCATCGCTGCTCTTCCCCTCTATCTCCCCTCCCTGGGAGGTCGTTTAGGTTGGAGGTTTGGGGGGCAGTCTCAAGGGTTTCTGGCAGCTCTTTGAACACTATTAGTTGCTTTCTCCCTTAGGCTAGACCTTCTCTTCAGGAGGAAAAGCTAGCTGGACCATTCCCTATGCACTAAGTAAATAATCCGTTATTTTTCTTGCCCTGGCTAGAAGGCTTGGTCACAGACCAGAACTATTATGCTTACTATGATGCCAACAAAGAGGTGGTTCATGCCCTAAAATGCTTACAGTCCTAAAAATAAAATAAACCCACAGAGTTTTGGTCAAATTTTTACTGATTATTGTTTTCACAACACTGTTAACAACATCGGAACTTTCCTGTTGCACCCCAGACACGTAAAGCAACAAAATATTCAGTTCAGTCACATTCGTATAAATCCCCAAAGTATCTGCTGAAAAAAAAGTTTGTTTTGTGAAACTTTTGGTAATGATTTTATTGACAACGTTTAACTTATTTTTGCAGTAAAAGCAGTAAAGAAAATGTTTGTTTTTTTCACTTTTCAGCATTTATTCTTTTAGTCTTAAATCGAGAATATCTGTTAATAACGTGTTACAATGTATATTTAAAAATAATAAATTAAATATTTATTATCTGACCTTTTAATATTTGTCTTTCCAATGACACTTGGGAAAAATATTTTACCTATTCTTGAATACAGTAATTGAAATCCAATTGTAATCAGAATTTTACTGTTTCACTAAAGAGCCTGGTTAAGGTCCTTAGGGTTAAAGTAAATGCCTGTTAGGTTAGGCATTCTAATGATCATAATATGGGCTTATAATTCATAACATTTGAATTATTTTAAATGTAATTTAAGCTCTGCAACTCCTACACCTATCTTGTCTGTTTTTTCTTGTTGTTTGTATTTCAGATAGACAGCTTCCACTTTTGAACAAAAAACAGTGATGTTGCAAATTCAACATCTTTTTTTCCCCCTCGTCATTGTCTTCTTTCCTTTAACCTAACCTTTTTTCTCCGTATTTAGGAAAGTTCATGTATTTTGAATATTTACACAACATGGAGGGGAAAAAATCCTGTGGATTTATATAATTTACTCCTTTTCCACATCAAAATTGAACACTTTTTTCCAGCTAAACCAAGGCACACTTCTTCCTTGAGGATGTAGTGCTGTAGTGGGAACACTGATAAAGTGCACTGTCTCAGTAGGATGTGTCTGAAGGAGAGTGTTCTGGAGGCAGGGAGAGAGGCTACGGCTGCTCTGCGTTAAGCAAAGACAGTGCTGGTAAAAACTTTCTCCAACTTTTGTTGCCTTATAATAAAAGAATTACACATTCCATGCCTCTGCCCAGGATGGAAAGGAACAAGGACCTCCATAATCTTAATGTTGTATTATTTCAGCACCTTAAGAACTTAAGCATGTTCATTCTTTCAGCTCCCTTTTGAGGTCAGGCTCTGTGGCCCAGGATGACAGTGCTATATCTGTGTTCTCCAGAGGGCTGTGGAGTAGGATTGAGTTGAACTGTGGATTCTCCATTCTTCCTTCTTCCCTCAGAATCTCTTCTATATGTGTCCCTGTTATCAGAACAAAGCATGGCATCAGATGTTCATGGCCTCTTAAAAACATACTCTCAAAGGTACTGGTTACCTTCAGCTCCTGTTCCCTGCTGTCGTCACTTCTAACAAAATCTTTTTGCCTTGTGATCAGTCGTTCTACTTGATTAAACTATACTCCTGAAACTGTGATTCAGAATGAGTCTGTGCAGAACACAGATCTGAAATAAATATGTATGATCTTCTAAATCAGTGGTTCTTAACCTTTTTGAAGTTGAGTGGCACTTGAGAAAATTGGGTGTGCTCTGTACCTCGCTGAGGTCAGCTCTGAACACACGAGGAGCTGTCACCTTGCTCTTTTGTTAAGTGCTTGTGTACTTGCTGGCTTTATGGAAATTATAGTAAATCTGCTTATAATGTGATTGGCTACGTCATTCAGTGCTGTGTATCATTCTGTAACCAGTCTGTGAGGGACGATATGTTTACTAGGATTTCCTGTGGGAGAATACATGTATTCTTGGGTGCAGTATTGGAATAGTAAGTCCTGTACTTACTGCAGAAGTATTGGATATACTACACCTGTGAGATGCAGTGATGCATTTCATGAGTAGTTAATCTGTCTCATAAATCCTGGAATTTCTTTGTATCCATCGTAAAGGAGAAACTGTTTGGTTTTGTTTTTTGGGGTTTTTCCTTCCTGCATAAGATATGTGTGTATGTACTGTGTAATGCTGTAAATCTGATACTTTATGGACATGCCTTACTGTGTATGGCCATGTGCATGTATGTGAGTGTCTCTCACACTTTGCCAGCTGGTACATTGTGACATTGTTACATGTGCTGTGAATGTGATGTTTTCCAGCAAACCTGCGATACATGTGGTGGATAGCTGATTCTTACATGTGCAATCAACATGTCCAGGATTTTTTCACATACAGCAGCCTGGATAGAGCTACAAAAGTCCTGAAGCTGGAAATTTGGATAAAATTTCATGGCAAAGAGAAGACAGTCAGTATTAACCAAAGAACCTAGAAATACAGTGGCCTTACCTAAGTAAAAAACCCAAACCGAATCAACAACAACAAAAAAGCAACCCACCAAACAAAACATTTTTACATCTTCTTCATCTGGTCAAGGAAGGAAGGTAAAGGAAATCCAGCTACTTGAAGACAGTCAGAGGAGTGCAGTGTGGGACATCTGAAAACATGGGGCTCACTTCTGAACAGAGACTGAAGTGCTTGCATTAAAGTTACTGGTGCTCCAGACGGATTCATTAGCCAAGACCAAACTAACTCTATATCTTAACGCACACCCAAGCTAATAAGCCCGCTCACCTTCAGTCCCTGGATTGCTGCCTTTTCCCTGGTTTTCCAAAGTGGGAATTACTGCCTGCCAGCCTTCCTTAGATCCATGCACCAGCACTATTTGTGAGCTGCCATGGCCTTGTACCTGAGGCAGAGATCAGAGTGACAAACCCCATTAGCCTCTGCTGATTCATTCCAGGTATGCTCAGGAGCACCTGCATCCCCCTCTGTGACAATCTGGAAATATTTGCACTAACATGAGTTCACAGTAAGATCTACATTATGTTGCCCATGTAATGGGATTACATAGCACAGGCTGGCATGTATTCTGCTTTCTGTCCTGTTTGCATAGGAGTGTGACTATCAGCATTCCTGATGGTTTTTAGTTTTCATCAATGCCCCGGCAGTCTTTGATAGTATAATGGTTTCTTTTATATGTGATACTTCTAAGCTTGTGTTTATTTTGTAACTGTGAAACTTATCAAAAGGTTAGTCAGATTTTGGTAAGAGGCTGTTACAATAAAAGATGTTTACATGCAGATTTCTCTTTTTATTTAATGTGTTCACAGAAATGTAGCAAAATTTATAAGAAGTGTACACTCCTCCGTTGAAGAGCTTTTTATGTTTTTGATGTAGGTAAAATGTACTAAAAGAGGGTATAAAAAGCAGTTGCAGGGAAAATTCAAATTGCCATCTGCACATTCCCATTGCCAACTTTTGTTTAACAGATGAGCCCAAAGTAAAATTATATATCCTCTAATAGTGCAGCTCCCTGCACCTTCTGCTGTGTTGTGCCCAAAGTTGCTATTTCCTTAGTAGTGCTTCTTCAACTATGTTTTTTTTCCTTGGATGTTTTCTAACCTAAATCTGTGAAATGATCCTTAGAAAAAAAATCCCAACAAACTCACCAATTTTATTTGGAAATGGTTAGTTTTGCGTGCCTAGCTTAGAACTTGGCCACACAAACGTTCGTCTCAGCTCTGCTGAGAGGCAGCACCCTTCAACCATGGATGCATGGGAACAGAGGGAACATGGATCTGCTGTTGATAGACTAGTTAATGTGGAATCACAGTCATAGCCAGCCCTGAGCTCTGTTCTGGTGACTCTGCTATTATCCTGCTGTCTAACTCATATAAAGCCAGCTCAGTAATTCCTACATTGCACTGAACTGCACTAAGAAGGACAGAAACTTGGTCGACTACGTTTATATTACCTAGGTACTTGATAATAAAAATTTACAGAGACAGAACAAAGAAAAATGTGACATTCCATGCACTATAATCCTCATTAGAAGTAGTGCTAGAATGCTTATGGCAAGAAGTGATAAATGTCTGCAGAAACATTTGCCTGGAACTAAAATACAAAAATCACACATCTTTAAGAAGATGCAGGATTTAACTGATTTGTTCAACACCTCAGAAAGAATCCTGTAGTAACTTAAAGAATCCAGAAGTTTGTGACTTCGTTTGTCTGCTTAGGTTGTGTCTCTTGAACTTCACACCATGAGTCATATATAAATCACACACACACACATATATATACATAATTAAATCTTGAAACATAATACGAATTTAATTGGTAAATACAGCACACTAAGAAGGAAAGATGGCCCTAAAATAACAAGTATTTTCCCCCTCCTTTCTTTTGCTAGTGCTGTTGCTGAGGCTGAAGGAATTGAGCCATTAGTGAATACCTTGAGTGCTCAGAGAGATGGAGCCATTGCCAGTGCTGTTACAGTGCTGACAAATCTGGCCATGCAAGAGTCATCCCGTGTCAGCATCCAGAGCCACGGTATCATGAGTGCCCTTGTGGAACCACTGCACTCCACCAACAGCCAAGTGCAGAGCAAAGCAGCGTTCGCTGTGGCTGCCTTTGGTTGTGATGCTGTTGCAAGAACTGAGGTAAAACTACTCTTTGAGGTTGTGATTATTGATAACATTTCTAGATTCTGAGGTCGGAGTTAAATTAACCTGGAATCTTTTGTGTCTGTTCTAGAAGTTTTGAGCTTTCTAGATTTTTTTATCTTTGTCATAGGCTTGTTCTACCGAGTTTAGCTCTGTTTTTCATGAGATTTTGGAAAGGGCTTTCTTTAATTTGTATTTTCACTACTGTGTTTGCTTGCCCCAGATTAATGCTTTGCAGCTTTTCATTGGCTTCCATGAGCTTTAATCAGGGCTGTATCTTGATCCCCATGTTAAGGAGCATTAAAGGTTTCTTTCGGCTGAACTTTGAACATGAGAAGTTCAGTCCTCTTTACTCTCCCTCAGTGTTCTGTTGCCCACTTTCAAGGCCTGAATGGCAATTTCTGACCTTGCTTAATGAAATATTGGATGTGCATGGACTAAATGTAATTCAGACAAAACTCAAAATATAATTAATCCCTTGATCCGTGACATCCAGCAAGTTGAACTCTTTGCTGTTTATGAATTGGTCATAGTATTTTTATAAATAAGAATGATGCTATGTGCATTCATAAATCATAAGATGGGGTTTTCTCATGGGTCAAGTTTGCTAATTAGGACATGAATAAGGGGCACAGATAATTAATCTACCTCTTTCAGTGTCCTTAAAATGTCTTTCTCTTCGAAAATCCAAATGAGCAATATTTCCTCCAGCATGTATAGGAAAGATACTGTAGCACACAGGAGAATAGGACGTTAATAAGATTGTCACACATGCAATACAGATTCAAATGTATTGTGATGTAAATTAGTTGCTGGGAGGCAACAGAACACAGAAAAAGCTGTGGAACTCTCTGTGGCAGTTTTGGGTTGCATAGTCTCTTCAGGTTCCACACCGCAGCCTAATAACTGAAGAGTAAGGCAGAGCCAGGAGGGATGTCTGTGTTGTACTACTCTGAAGCTCACTTCAGCTCCAGCCTATGCAGAGCTCAAGGGAACACAGATTCCCCACAAATGACCTTTCTACCAGCCCAGCACAGGTTGTCTACGAGGCTTGAATGTTTTGGAAGGCAAATTTCACAGGCTGTTCTTGCTCGGATAGATGAAAGAGGTAAGTGGCAATGTCCTCACTTTTTCATAGTTAAGAAATGCAGGTGGACTGGGACCACTCGTTGAACTGCTGCATTCTAAGAATGAAGAAGTCCGAAGAAATGCCTGTTGGGCTGTTACGGTCTGTGCAAGTGATGAACCAACCGCTGTTGAACTGTGCAGGCTAGGGTGAGTGGAAATAGGAAATTTTTGATGTGAAAACTCAATTTAAGTCAATCTTTATGTATTTATAGCAGAATAACAAAGCTTTTTGGTAAGCAGAAACTACTTTTGCACCACAGATGTTACAGATGAAATGGTATTGATTTTTAGGAACAGAGGTTTTCAGACAAAATATAAGCCTGTTGAGAGAACTGTCTGGAATTATAAAGCATTTATTGTTTCTGTGACTGAATTAGGCTTTAGATTGAAGATTGCTTATATCAGTCAAAATTAGGAACTACAGTGCCCCATACATTTCAAACTGAAATAAAGGTTTCAGACTAAGTTTAATATACAGTAAATTGTACTTATTATGCACAGGCTAGATTTGATTTACAATCTCTGGTTAACTGCAGGTGTGCTGAAGTGTCATGTAAAAGTGACTCTATTTTATTCCTTCTTAGAAGCTCCCAGTTCCATATATTAATATCTGAATTACAAAAGCTAGTTTAGGTTATAAGAATTATGACACAGGATTCCTCAGACAGGGTGACTTTTAGTTACTGTTAAATTAAAATATATGTAATTGCCCTGCTCCCTCTGCTGGGCACTTCTCTGATAACTGCAGGGATACTTAAAATCCCTCTATGAGGGAATTCTGCAAAGTGAGACTCTCAAAAGTTTAGATCACGATGGGACCTCAAAGGTGATGTTATCCATCTATCTGCTGTAAGACTGAGTAAGGTACACTGACGTGTTTTGGCTTGTTTGGTGTAAATACTGATTCTGATGGGGTTTCACAACTTTCTGAGGTAACCTGTTCCAGTGCTGGAGTATCCTTACAATTAGAAGGGGTTTCTGAGTTTTAAATATCCCTTATAGCAAATCAATCCAACTACATGTTGTCTTATTTGCAATGGGATCGAATAACCATTTTTTATAGCAATTTAACTTACTGAATTTTCTCATTTTCCATGTTCTTCTCTCAGTTTCTTTTTCATGACAAAATAAAAATATTAAACTCATTTTATTTTGAAATCTTGTATCATTTTGTCACACATCTCTGAATTTTTCTTCTTTATTTATACCATTTTGAAGTGTCATCCCCCACCCTGGATGAGGTATGTCAGATGAGGTCATACGACCATCAAATAAAGCTCAGTAATTATTTTCTTTATCTTGCATATGGCACTGTTCTTGTTTAATCCCTTCTTTGTTACAGTATCAAAGTAGGACTCTAATTGTAATGTGTCCTTCCAGTTTGACAGGATATTATTGATAATAATACATTAAGCATAGTTTTTCAACTAGTCAGGCACTACTTCATGGGTTTTTTATATAGATCATATTTCCTTGATTTGCTCACGAGTATTCAAGTAGGAATATGTGAAAAGACTTATTAAAGTCAAAACATATCTCAAAGTCAACTCATATCTCACATCTACTTTTTCTAGCTATACATCAAGGCACCCTATCACAGCAAGGATTACATTCACTTTACATGACTTATTCTTGACAAATACATAATGGCTATTTCTCATCTGTTGTTGTTTGCAAACTGATTGTTTAATAATTTGATATGGTTTTCTTTGGACACTGAAATTTGGTAGCATGATATCTATTATAATTTCCTTGTTCTTAGTTTTTCAAATCTAGATAGTATCTTTGCCCTTCTCCACTCTCCAGGCATCTAGAATTTTCAAATACAATTATAAATAGTTACAATGTCGCTTTTGCAAATTCGTAGAGTGGTATGAGGTAAGTGTCCTCAGGGACTGCTAACTTTGTCTCCTCAAACTTACTCTAGACATGTTAAGACTACTGTTTCTACCTCCTTGTTAATATGACTGCCAGGCATCAGCCTGAAACCTTTTTATGAAAACTGAAGCAAAAAAGGCATCATCAGACATTTTTCTGTGCCATCTGTTATGAGTTTTCTTCCCACATTGAGTAATAGGCCTACGTTTTCCTCTCTGACTCACAGCATATGAAACATTTGTTTCAGTCCCTGAACAGTTGTGTCTCACTTTACCTGTGCATCTTTTGGGTTTGTCCCTTTTTCTATTCTGTTGGTAGTCTTTCCATTTCTGTTTGAATTTTTTTTTTTTTGGGTTTTGGCTCTTCACAGAATTTTTGGTGCAACTGTATTTGTCCAGTTTTAGTTTGTCTCTCCTCTAAATGAGGGTAATGTGCCATTGTGCCTGTAATGTCTTCTGGTTTAGACACTGCTGAACACATTAGCCTTTCTTTATTCATTTTCCCCTTTAAAATTCTTCCCTGTATTATTTGCTGCTTATCTGCAATATGCTGTAGACAAATAGCCTGAACTGCTCTTCCACTATCTTCTCCCATTGCTCGCTTCTGTAAGAGAAGGCTGTCATTTGCCTTGCCTGAAAAACTTGTTCTCTGGAATTCATCTGACGTACCTTCGAAGTCTACCTTGTAAATGTCTGCAGCTGAGGCTCCCTGTGTAGTTCACAGAGAGAAATGGGCAGTCTAAACATGGAGATCATTATATATATATATATAAAATATGTGTGTGTATATATAAAATTTATTCCTTGAGATGTGAAGAGTGTCTGCATGTGTGCATAAAACCACACACATAAATTTGAATATTTACACAAAAATATATCATCATTTTTCCTGTGGTTTTTTTTCATTTGTAAACAGTTCTAAAACTGCAGTATGCTATGTTCTCCTGATTCAGTTTCCTTTATCTTCTTAGTGAGCTTTTCCTAAGTTTTTCAGGTCAGAAGTTATCAGTATGTGGGTTTCAGCACCAGAAACAGCTTAAGAAATTAATTCCTGTCCTCCCATGTCTTCACATTGCTATTTGTTTCTGTCTCCATGCTGCAAAAATCCCGCCATTCTGGTGGTGCTGAGACAACTGCTTGTGTTTCTCTGCTCATTCGTGTTTAGCAAATATCTGCCAACTGTGCCTTCCCCAAGCACAGTAACAGTCCTAGGCCAGAAGGATTCACACATCACATAATGCACAACTGGAATCTGAAAATTGCATTGCAGCTGGAGAGAGAGAGAGAGAGAGAGAGAGAGAGAGAGAGAGAGAGAGAGAGAGCTTGCCTGAACTGTGTCATATGGTCAGCTCTGAACATTGTTCCTTTTACATCTTTTTTCTCCCTCAAGTCCTCTGTGGTGCTGAATATCCTTCTGATAAAAGGCTGTGGCATCGTGTCCACGTTTCTTTATGTAGCATTTAACTACCTAAAGAAATTGCTTTTGGTTTTGAGCATTGCAAGGCGTTTTTCTCCCCTTGAGAAGAAATTCTGTGCAGCACGGCCTTGCTGGCCCAGGGGGCACAGGGCTGGACTTGGAAGTGAATTTGTCTTGGCCTTGGTAATGCTGAAAACTAACTCTCAACTGTATAACAGTTAATTAGTATTTAACAATGAATTAGCCACTGTGTTTTATTTACCAGTGCTTATTTGCTTTTGTATTTTATTTATCAGTGCTTTAGACATCCTAGAAGAAATTAATCTGTCAATAAAGCGTAAAAATAAGTTTAGTGAAGCTGCTCTGGAAAAGCTACTTGATAACAATCTTTCCCAAAAGTACAGCCGGCTGGGATATTTATCATCAAGTAATATCATTACTAATGGATTCTATGACTGCGGTCAGGTAAGCTACTCTAAATAGCTGCTCTTATTTAGAAAGAGTAAAATTTTCCTGTTAATTTAGAAAAAAAACAGAATCTGGCTACAGAAAATACTCTGTTTTCATGTCCTGAAGTTTTTCACAGCTGTTACACAGATCTCTTTTGATTATCCTTCTTCATGGATGAAATCTCACCATCTTCATGCTACCCCTTAGTTGTGATTTTCTTCCCAATCCTATATGAGCTGTGCAGACCTAGTTCCTTTCCAGATCCTTTCTTAAACTTTACGTCTTCTTTCCCTGCAGTGTACTTAATACTAACTTGACACTGAGTGACCTATGGACGTTTTGTTTGTTTATTTTTACATAAAGAAGTAAAGAGTTCTTATTTTCAGCTGAGTCATGACCCTTTCTCTCACAAAGAAGTGTTTGTATATAAAGACTGACTCCAGTATCACTTGTTCAGGTTAAATCAGAGAAAGACTTCTTAAAATACCCAAATGAATTAGAAATACCAGTCTTACTGACAATCAGTGAAATACCTGCTCCTAAAGCACTTGGTTGCTTTGAAAATTCCATCCTGTATTGTAAAGCCTTCAGAGGCAGGAACATTTACGTATTCTGGAACTGTTTGGAATGCCTTAATGACAATAACTACAGGTTAAATTATTTATAAACAACATTTTCTAAGAAAAATTGATGAAGAAAATGCAAATTAAGAAGAAAAAAATTCACATATTTTTAATAGCTTTGTAAGTTCTTGCAGAGTCTTTGGTTTAAGATTAGGAATTTTAAATTACTCTTTTAAATACATTTTTTGTCTTCATCTTTAACTGAACAAAACACCTTATATTTTATGCTAATTTTCTTGTAGATAAAACCTGGAGCAAAATTTTTATCTTTGGAAGAATTAAGCATGCAAGAGCTTACTGACCGTCGGGCAATAATCTTCATTAATGCTAAACCCCAAGAAGAGTGAGTCATGTTAGATCTACTACCATTTATTGCAATAGCTCATCTTTTTAATAATTTTCCCTGTTTCCAGTATAAACTTCATTTTATAGATAGACAGATATATACATGCATGCATATATACACACACATATATAGGCACATCTATTTTAATGCCAGTACAGTGCTTTATGTCCTAGAAGGCAAAAGATTCGTATTTTATAAAATAAGAATTTGGAAAATAACTTTTTTCTCTGTCTAGAGAGATAGACAAATGCATGGAAGTTTAAGCACATCATCCCAAGAGGCAGGACAAAGCCAAGTATGAAGACCTCAGGCTTGATAAAGAACCTGTGTCCGTTTCTTCTCCGTTTAAGTTGAAGCCAGCCTAACAAATCTTCTTAGATTTGAATGCAGGAAGTTGGTATTGGGCTTGTTTAACTGGGAGCCATTTCCTGTAAACAGTATCACAGATCAAAGATTGCTCTACCAATATTTTGCAAGTCCAAAACCTTCTTCTCTGTCAACACATCACATATTTGGTTTACAGTATCATTAGCTTCCCTTTTAAGCTTGTATATGACACCATAAAGATGTCTGGGAATATCTATGACAAATTATACTTCCATGCTCTTTGTTGATCCCTAGAGTTGTCTTTAACTATCAGGTTTTCTTTCTTTGGCTTTGATACAGCTTCTTGCTCTTGCACTTCGGCAGCAGTCTTACTCCCCAGTTACTTTTGTGTCCATAATTTGGTATTCCATACTTCATTTTTGATCCCTGAATCAATATCTGGTTTATTAGTGGTTATTTCTTCCACTTACATTCCACAATATATTTACTGTCCTTTAAAATCAGAACTCCATTTTCATAGCTTCACATGCAAATAACGTGCAAAAATAATCTTGTTCTGTTTCAGTCTTGCAGTAGAGAAGGCACAAGATTCGCCACCTCCTATTTCAAAAATAGGTAGTAAAGAAAAAGCAAGGTAGGGTTTTCAGATTTACTGGTTGTCAATGTTCTGTTATTGCTCTAACATTAAAAATAGAATTCTGACTGAAAATAGTGACAGTTTCTGAACACTTAAATACAATGTTAAGTATGTTTTCGGAGTCTTGCTTTCACCTCCTATTTGCAGTAACATTCTTTTGTCTATCTTAGTGGTTATTTGTCCTCCCTCCCCATGCTGTATTTGAACAGCTCATATTTATTTACTTTTTTCCTCTCATTATCCCTGGGAGGCAGGGAAATGCTGTTATTTTGCAACTTGACAACCAAGACACAGGGAAATTAGAGTAGAAGTTCTTTCTCAGTTTAGGACTTAGACCCATGAAATGTTCCTACACTGTCTACATGCATCCTTATTTGTAGATTAAATTTCTTCCAGTGAAATTCCATAGATGACTAGAAGCTGTGTGTGCTCAGAACTAGAAGGGTGTGCTCAGAACTGTCCTGATTTTGATGACAACTAGCCTAGAAATGCTTTGCTCTTGCAGGGCTTGTCCTGATCCATATGATACACAAGGTACAGTGCTGCAGTCTGTCTGTTCATACCAAATAGGCTGGAACCTCTACCCTTGTAGTGAAAAATTAATTTCCTTCTTTTACAGAAAGAGGATTTGAGCCTGTCCCTCAGCAGACAGCTGACCACAAGATATTTGGGGTTTAGCAGTATCTCTTTGGTTTGTTGTAGCTGATCGCTGACAATGGGGTGTAATGAACAGGGCTTTCTGCTTCAGCTGTTGGGGTACTTACCTCAGAGAGCCAAGACTAAATTTCTAGTCCTTCTCTAGTATAAAATACTTAACCTGTAGTTTGTTCCTGTGGAAGAAAACTAAGCCATGATCTCCCAACTGTCCTGCCTGTAAAACAGCAGCACAGTCATGATGACAACAGTGCCTTTTGGAGAAGCCAAGTGTACATGCCCAATTCCAGGGGAATGTCCAGAATTCCAAACCCAGTCCAGTTAGAGCCTCCTTGCCATTAATGGGATGGTCTCTAGTCCTTGACAGGAATGTGAGATAACCTACAACTCTCCTTGGCTTTTCTGTTAGCTAACTTTGTGAGCCGACCATTTATTATGCTGGTTTCTGTGAGTCCCATTCCTGACTTCCTAATTTTCCTTTCTTTATGGTATAGGGAGCCTTGGTAATGGCTCAGGGCTGTGAGTTCTAGTCAGTGGTGGACATTATAAACTGCTAAGTGCTGCAGGGTTGAACAAAAGGAGAAATGGTGCATCTGCTGTAGGAGCTGAAGTACTGTGTTTCCAATATTTAGCTTGGAGCTCATCCATTAACTATAATACACTACTGTCTCTACAGGCATTTTATTGACTGAGATAATGGCTGATTTCTTATGCTGTTTATATATTTCTGTGTATGTATGAACCTGTGCTTGAGAGATGAAATCTGCAGTAAGAAAGTCGAGAGAAATCTGAAACCTGCTTTGTGGTCTTAACAGTTCAATGGTATCTCCAGTGGAGGAAAAGCAGGAGTTTTCTGGACAATGGTGTTCACTTAGCAAAAGCAGCAGCAGAGAAGAAGGTTTAAGGGTATTATACTTTGAATTATATTTGAATATATTTGAATTATGTCAATTTTTTTAGAACTGACATGCAAATTGTTGACAGATAATAGCTACTGACTGTGAAGGGTTGAGGTTCTGACTTAAATCAGAATGCAAATTGTGAGATTAGTCTATCAAAAAGTTACTGACTTAGAAGGCAGACATTCCCATTTGACTAGTTATTTGGACTGCAAGAACTTCTGAAATTCAGTTTCAGTCATTTCATAGAAGATACCTGAAACAGATCCCATGAATTGCATTGTGGAAGGTTCCTGTTTCAGGATGCACGAGAGTAGATATTGCAACTTGGGTGTCTTATGAGGCCTGTCCTACCTTCTGCTCACTGAGCAGGTCCTCCTGGTTCCCCTCATGCTCTGGTCATGACCCACCACACATATGCCAGTTTACTCTAAGGGAGCAGAGGCACGGGGAGATGTGGAACCCCAGCTGTGTTTGCTCTGCACCAGTGGCAGGTTACTTCATCTCAGAACACGCTCGAGCCACAGGCCATTTTGCATAGTCTCAGGAGCTGAGAGACCTGTTCTGACAAGATGTTTGTTTATTACAGTGTGAGATGAAGATACATTTGGATAGTTGCTTTTTAAATGTAGTTTATGTCAATTACGGAGTAAATGACTGCTCTGTTAGCAACCATAACTCTTTCAAAGAGCAAAAAATTTTCTTTAGGAAGAAATAAATACCTGGCTCAATTTCCCATAGTAAACCTTGCAGGGTTATAAAGACTTCTTTCTTCAAGTATGAAATAATTGCTTTTGAATGTCATGATCAAGTTGTATGATTTATAACCCCATTGTCATTCATTTTGAATCCATAATTCATACATCATTATTAATTTGTGAGATATATGGGAGTTACTTGAAGGTCAGTAGCTGACTCCAAGTCTCAAACACACTTAGACTTTTTTCTACATATTGTTTCCTTTGATCATATGTTTCTGTTCATCATTATTTTGCAAAGTAATACTGAACACTGTTTAAAGCCATTGCTTTGAAAAAGTGATACTGCTTTATATAAACCATAGCTGAAAGCTCAGAGAAAGGGTAGTTGTAATTGTCTGCTGGCAGTGTTTGAATTAGATGTAGAGGAAGTGGCTAGTTGATAGTTTGACATGTATTTGCATTGACAGCAGCACTTTTAATCAAACAGTTGCATATCTGATATACACACTGACTGGGCTAAAACATTGTATTTAACGTAGACTAATAAATGTGTATTTATTCCATGCTACATTCCAGTACAGCATTTAAGTAAATACTGCCCAATGTTCACTTAATCCTTTTCTAAAGAGTATCAGGGTATTAAGCTATGTAAAATGGGAAAGAAAATAGGTGTCATGGCTGTCTTTTGATGGTAGGATATTGTATTGGCTGCCTTCTTCCTCACCCTGACGCTCTGGTGACCCCTTGGACTTCTGTACTGAAGTTGCAACAGTACTCAGAAACAGCTTGGAAACTATTAAGTGCCATGATCTCTCCTTTGCAATATTCCTCTGCATTCACAGCAAGTAGTCTCACAAGTAGGAAAACAGCTTTGGGAAATGACAGTGATTTTTTTTTTCTGACGTCACAATTCCCACTGGTAAAAAAATGGGGATCAAAAAAAAAGTGGGCAGGAGAAAAGAGAGTAGAAGTCTACTGTAATGCTTACTGGTTATTTTATTGCTGTACAAAATAACAAGAGCTCCACAGTTCCTTATGAGAGAAGTATTAGATAGATACGATGAACTGAACAGCTGAGGAGTAAGGTAGAGACAGGTGTGGAAGACAACCTTAAAGCAGCTATTCCACCAAGGAACAGAACATACCTGAGAGAAATAAGCAGCAGCAAAAACCCCAAGCAAATCACTGTTCTAACCCATCCCTCTCAGGTGTTTTCTTCCTAAAAACTGGGAAGGAGGAGAATGAGTGATCTGAGAGTCATTTGAGTAGATAGGAATAAGGAACAAATTCTCCTGCTATAGCACTGTAATTTAATGGTGCACTTTTTATAGGGAAAGAAAGTACTGGGAGGAGAGAAGGGATAAAGGGGGAAAAGAGAGAAAATGGTCAAGAAACAAGAATTATAGCATTTGTAGAAGTTGTTCCTTTGAAGACCTGCTAAGTCAGACACCAGAGAGTTTGGAATAATTCATTTTTTTTAAACAGGGCATTTTTAACCATAGTGTATAAGTGTATAAATGGATAAGTAAGAGGCTGTTTAATATAGCATTATAAGGTTCCCTGGCTATAGTTAGATAGAGTCAAATTAGATAAAGAAAACTGTTGTTTTTCAAGTGTACGTGTAGTTAATAATCAGATCAGTTCATTTAAGAGGGTGATAAATTTTCTGTAATTTTAAGATTAAATCTTAATTGGTTATCCCTCTAAAATAATGTGCTTTATGACACCTATGAAAAGGGCTTTTTGAGAATATGGTAAATCTCAATGGGTTAAAGAAAAGTTTGCAAAGTATTCTGCAGACAAAGTGCTTGAATTCAACTACTTATAATGATGTACACCCTTTTGCTTTGCCCAGTGCCTTCCATCTTAAGAGTTCTGTTTCATTGTAAAAATTTTAAGAATAATTTGAAGAGCATACAATATTGATAGTGTGTCCTGGAGCTATCTACTCTAGTGGTTCTGTATTTCTTTTTTTTCTCTTTCCTTCCAAGAACACCAGAAATACTATAGATTTATAAAAATAAGACAGAGCTGTTAAATGAAGGAAAGAAATTTTGTCATATTTCACAGTAGAATTATTCAGGATTTATACTGAAAAAGACATAATGCTTAAAAAACACTAGTTTCATGTGTTCCCACAAATGAAAAATCCTAAAGTGTCTGATTGTATAGACCTTAATGATACCTCTGGTAAGATACTGATTTTATAGTTGCTGCACAACTTGTGAAATGCACAATATTCAATCTAAGTAGAACAATCATTTCATTTATACTTCTGCTGGGTGCTTATGATGCCTGTTCAGGATCACAGTCATTTTCAGATCCCAAGCATTAGTGAAATATGAAGCACGAGCAATGAAAAAAAGTCAACAAAACCACACACTTCTTGTAAAATCTTCCTCTGACAAGCCATGTTGCAGCTTACATAACACTTGAAGAACCTGGACTTGCAAGTACAGAGATTATCTCTTGGAATGTCCTCTCAAGATTTCAGCCATGCTCTTGATACCATTTGTTCCTTTATTTGAAGTCCAGATTTTTATCAAGTAAAAAGTCACTGGAGGTCATGATTTTTAGTTCATATCCATTGGAACCAAACCATAACTGTCTAAAGATCTTTCCTCTCTGTATGTAGTAGGTAAGAGTCTCCTCCCCTAGATAACCCATATATGGGAAAGACATACCAGAGCCACTGACAAAAATAAAATGACAATTTACAACACTGTTAATGTAGAGATAGTGACACTTGGTTCCTAACCATCTCCTGCGGGAATGTTCCGCAAGTGTTCTCTACAGCTTTATACATTTTGGATATTCATTGTTAAAAGATTTCTCCTACTTTCCATCCCTCGCTAATCAATTTGTGTAAATGTCCTGGTGGAGAACTACTGTATTTGTATTTGAACTTTAGAGATTACAGTGTTCTAAATAAATGTATATTTTTTTTCTATGTAAGAAAAGGAAAGGGGAAAACAGAAGAGGAAAAAGCAAAAGAAGTTACTGATATTACATCTAAAGACCAGGAAGAAATAAATCTAGAAAATTCACTTTGGCTACCGCCATCTGACATCATTTTAATGGATTACATTAATGATGCTTCCAAAACAATTCTACCACTAACTACTACCCGGGAACAGGTTGTGGCCCTTGCACAGTGAGTACCAAATTATATTCCAAAAGTTGAATTAGTAAAATAACTGTTTTCTTATCCAAGAGCAACTTTTCTAAATTCGGGTTTTTTCCCATTCTTAACTGTAATCCAAATCAGCTGTGTTCCAGCATGTTGACATGATTTTAGATTTTAAGCTTCTTGTTCTAATTCTGGTGCTTTAGCTTAATATTTTTGAAATAAAGTATCACTTGCAACAAAAAGATGTAAACTTTTCATTTTGAAAATATTCATACGGGCAATTTTAGGGTTTTTTTTTCACATTTATATGAAACTGTACTGATCCTTTCCAATGAACACATCAGCTCCCTATAGCATCTATATCATTAAGGAGCTCCAGAGGCTCAGGTGCTGCAAAGCCTAAAAACACAAGCTAGAACCCCAACCTGACTGTCAAGACAGTTGCAGCTTACCTGTATTATATCTGTGCTTTCTCTTACCGTGTTTCTTATCTACTTGGTTTGGAAGCCCCTCAGGACAGGAACTCTCTTGTATTTTGTTTTTCTGTAGAGCCAAAAGCATGAGACAAGTTTTCTAATGCAGTTTTTAGATCCTGTTGTAATTAATATCCTGATGGTTTAATAGTGCCACAATATTGCATTGGTGCATGTACAGACTGTTGTTATCAATGTGTGATTCATTAGTTACACTGACTATTCAGCCTGGGCACCAATCACTGTCACCTCCAAGCAGTGTGTCTGCTTTCATCTTCTCCTTAGTTTAACCTTTATTATCTTAGCAGTTTCCGGGCTGCCTCCTGAATCTGGAGAGTTTGGTGTCAGATCCCACTGAGTCTCACAAAATTTGTTACTTTCACTAACTCTCATTTTTAATGAAGTGGTCTAATGTGATATGAGGGATGACTTTTCTGTTGATTGCAGAGTTTGAAAGGACAGATATTCATCCTTAACTATTCAGCTGTGTATAAATCATGCTGCCTTCCTCAAGGTGGAATCCATAAAATGCTCTTTAAAGTTCAGTCTTCTAACCAGTGAAATACTTGCAGACACACAGCCCAGTGAAACAATCATGGGGAATTTAAGCAGAACGTTTTTTTCTGGGGATTTTTCTGTGCGTGTTCCATTTTAAGTGGCTGCCTGAATAGCGTGTGTTCAACAGGGAGGGGAGGAAAAGGCAGCTGCTGCATCCCTCGGCAGCCTGGCAGCCTGGGCAGAGTTCCTGCTCTGCTCACCAGAGAGGGGGTCGGGCTGGATGAGGGAACACCAGCAGTGCTGGATGTGTCCTTTGGAACAAACACAGCGCACCTTTGTGCACACACGGCGGTGCTGAGCACGTCAGCTCAGACAGCTTTGCTGTGTTCAGTGAGGGCTGGCCGTGGGCACACACAGTGCGAGGGACTGCCTGGAGCCCACACGATTCCAGCTTCACCCAGTAATTCCCAGCTTCAAGATACCACATCCAGCCTGCTTGGTGATAGCTCCCCATGCCTGAGCTGTTGGACCCGGTGCTTCCTCAGCCCTCGGTTTGAGAAATGAGGCCTCGGAGGTTGCCTTGCTTGTGCTGTGCAGACAGAACCTGTTCACAGTTTCTGTAGAGGAGGGGATGCAGATTTTAGCTCCCTCTCTGAAGCAATGGCTTGTGATTTCCATGTCAGCTCTGTGACATCTTGTCCAGGGTAAGAGCCCCTCAATAACCCTTGTGCCTGTGGCTGGAGACACTGCAAGGAACAAAGGTCTTTCCATACAGGGACCATGCATAGGGCAGTGAAGGTGTGTGTATGAGGAGGTGGGGACTTACAAATCAGGGCCTGGTCTTGTGTGTGTGCGCTCACTCAAAAGACATCCTTTTGGCAGAGTTGGCACAAATTGTGAGTTCTGATCTGTTTCTGTGACTGAGCCACTTGTTTCAATGGATACACACTCACCTCTCACCGCCAAAATACAGGCTTCAGTGTAAGAAAGCACATGTAGAAGTACCTTCAATGAATACAGTTGCTTTTCTGTGTTGGGATCATTACCTATGGCTTTATTTTTGTCATATATATTCTCAAGGTTTTATTAATATTTCAAACAAATGTAATATGTAGCTCACCTAATCTGTTATCTGCGAATATGAACACTAGCTTCTGTAATTACTTCCTCAGTAACTGATGATTTTCTCTGAGGACTTCATGCCTATACTAGACCTCTCCAGAATCTCTTCTGGCAGTTTTTGCACCTTGGTTTAGGTCTGTGACAAATCTGAATGACCAGAGTTATGGTTATCTATATTTATAGTAAGCATATTTAAAATACCAATTACTGAATTAAAAAAATTAAGCAAACATAGAGGAAGTATTAGTCTCATATTTCGTTCACTTACTGGTTGTATACATTTCATTTTGCTACATTTTTGTGATAAATACAAGAGGAACTGTCGATGTAATTGATCCCGGTATGCATTTGGAACAGGTTTGTTGCAGACAGGATGGGTGGCTCTATTGAAAGAGACAAACTACATGACTTCAGCTGGGAACTTCACATAAGTGAAATAGAATTTGAACTGAAATGCAACATTGTGCCTATCGGGAAAATCAAAAAAGGGACGTTCTATCACAGGGCTTTACTTTTCAAGGTACATTAACATTTATTTTGCAACATAACATATTGATTTTAAATGGATATTCAAAACTATACTTGCATCAGTATAATACCATATTTTTATTCATGTAAATCTTTTGTAGACGCTTTAGTAATTTTTCACCAGCAAAGTTAATTTCCCAGTGAATGAAAGCCAACATTGCCTCTTTCTGTAAGCATTCTTGTTGTCATTAAATTGTCTTAAGTGATATGAGCAGAATACTTGATAAATGGCAAAAAGCCAAAATATTTGATTTGGAGTCAAAACATTTTACGTTTTCTGTAAACTGTAGAATATGAATTATGCAGCTTCCTTCTTTTTCCATGCTGCAAATGTAAACTTGTTGGGACAATTTTTGTTTGGTATCTATCCAGTGTTCTATGATAGTATATAACAGCTTTAATGTTCTCGTTTCTTAGAAGTTCACAAGCATTAACTTCTGGGAAGTTTCATTTCTTCTTTCTTCATGTGAAGATATACTGGTGCAGTCTGGTTATCTGTCCCATACTTTTGCCTTAGCTGGATTTTTGTCTTTCTCGGATGGAAAGGAAAAGAGAAGCAAGGGCCTAGCACATTGAGCTAGAAGGACCTAGGAAAGAGCACACAGGAGAAAGAGCACAAACCTAAATTTATAGTATCCATTGGGAGAGAAAGTTCCCAACTTATTTTATGAATGGTCTGAGGCTGTGAATTAATTATCCTCCACTGTCCTAAGAAACCTTTGTAGGGAACAGCTCATCTCTTAAAGCCACAGCACTCTAAGCAATGGATATCCTTGTCCATTTGTAACAAGTTAAAAATCTTCCAGGACTTCATTCCTTCACAGCAGATGCATGGTGAGAAAGCAGTTTTGTAGCTGGAAACCATTATAGGTCTGTCTGTGATAGTGCAGCACAGAGGAAAGGCAGGTGTTTCATCTAGCAGGCACTTGCCTTGCATTTCATTGCTTCCCACATTTCCAGGGCTGAAAAGCAAGGAGCGTGCTTTGGAGCGAAGCAAGAGTCCTAAACTTACACTGATGAAAATGTTACATTTTTACACTTAATATTTCATATGAGCTATATGTGTGCAGTGGGCCTACACCTCACTGCTTGAATACACTTCAAAATACTATTCAGAATTAAGTCTTCCAACTAGAAAAAAAACACTGCTGGATATTGTGGGTGCTGCACTTCATTTGAGATCTAAAGGACTGGCTGATAAACAAATGTATCAGTATCTGAAAAGAGTTAAAATTAATATTTTTCATGATGTGCATTGAATACGCTCAAAATAATATTTAAAAGCCTACATTTCCTAAGCAGAATGAACACTAAAGGTTTGCACTCTTGAGAGGTTTATAAAGTCTGTTTCAAGGAAACACTTTTAAGGTATTTGTTTGCTTTTTAAGCATCTCTGGGCCTTGCTGTATATCACAGAAGCTACATGGATGAACTGTGATTAACTACTACCTCTTTCATTTTTAGGTGATAGCGGACAGAATTGGCATTGGCTGTAGTTTAGTTCGTGGCAAGTATAACAGAGCTTGGAATGAAGTTAAATTGGTTGACGACTTTCCCAAGGGAATAGCTGGGCTTCTGCTTCCTCCTCAAGAATATATTGTAGATCTAATGTTTGAGCCAGGCTTTTTGATCAAACAGGGAAGTGCAAAGGCGGATCAATACAAACGTATTTAATCATCTTGACAAATTTCACCAAATAAATATTTTAAAAATGTTTGCAGTGCTGTATTTTTGAAACACAGGGTTTCATATCCAACTATCAAAAATAAGCATATCTGGTATGTTGTCTTAAACATTTAATTAAATGAATTTTTGGTATCCAGCTTCGATGCTTAGAAATTTTGTTAAATTTTTTTGTACTATTTTAAGACTAAACTGTAAAACTATAGATTAAAATTTGGTAATCAATATTTGTTATGTGCTAACATTAAAACGCTTATTAAATAGATTTAGATTATTTCCAATATAGTATTTTTTTTCTTATTTTCCTTCTACTCCCATGCACATTTATAGAAACTACTTGTCCATGAAGCAAGAAAATATGACATCTGGTGAAATAACAAGTCACCTAAAAACAACTGAACAATTTTTGTGTGAAATAACCCAAGAAATGAGAATTAGAATGAAGATAATGGTACACTTTCAGCCTCTGTAGAAAACATCCCATATATATTTCTTAGAACTTGGTAGTTAATATTTACAGATAATAAGGTACTCCAGTCGAAAGGAAATACTGTTTGTCCTGGCACAGGGAAGAGAGATGATTGATAAAGTGATTCGTGTGATCTCTGTTTAAATTCTTTATTTTTCACTTGAAGATAAAATGGACTCCAAGAAGGCAGCAGTTTTAGACAGGGAATTTGTATTTCTTGCAGCCTTGCTGAAGTGTGGTGGTGCATCTAAGAGAGGTAAAATACTGGCTACAGCCAGTAACTCCAGTAAACACTTCCTGGTGAAACTGTCAGGAATGTACTGGAGTATTTCAGGGAGCACCACTATGAATTGAGTTTACCATAGAAAACTGAGAAAATGCCCTGTACAGCAGTTGGGCCAGTGCAGACAATGCTGTACAGAACTGAATTTCAGAAGAATTTCAGAATGCAAACAGCAAGGCATTTACTTCCTGCCCACCAAAAATGTGACTTAAAAATTTGTTGTCTGTGTTCATTTAGTTTTTTAATGTTTGCATAAGCAGAACCACTTGCATTGACCACTTTAGACTGAGGAGGTTTGTATCTGTTGTATTCATTACTGCTTATGAGCATGATCCCACCACTCCTCCTCCTTCCTCCTCTGACATGCAGCATGATTTCCTGGTAGCCCCTGGGGAACATTTTATCTTTCTGTTGTAAATTCACTTATATGGCTGCATGCTCATTTTTTTACCTTATGTTCAGCAGCACTCTAGACATCAGAAGGAAAAAGAACTCTGGAAACAAAATGCATGCTATCCTGGTAGAACTGAGAGGAAGGTGAGGATGTGTTTCTTATCATTGATTGCTATGTAGCAGGTAGGGGGATGGAAGGTCATATGCTCTCCCTGACAGGTATGACTCGGTATAGACATCTACAACTTTGAAAGTGCAGTAAATTGAAGTAAAATAAGAATTAATTTCCTGCTAGCTATCATTTTGTATAGTTTTCTTACATTGGAATTTCATTATTTTGTATTGGAACCATAATGTTAAAGTGTGACTTACTGTGTTTGAGGAGGTCTTGAAAAGAAAGCAATTTCTCTTGTTTCTGATAAAAGTCAATATGGGGGGGAAAAAGACAAAATGCAGTTTTTAAAAATAAATTGGGAAAATTCTAGACATATAAGCTCACTTTACATAAAATAATTATCTAAACAAATAAAACCAAATACTGTACCCTGCATTGTATAATGAAGAATTTGATGATCCAAAAATGTTGGATGAGGGTTGTTTCATGTCAACTCAAAATTTTTAGTTTTGTATTATCTGAGTTCTGCCACTTCAAAATTGTAACACATTTGGGTGTCAGAAATAAGATCTAGGCAGAATATAAATGCTACAATCTCAAATTTTTACTCTGAAAATTGCACTTCAGTTGTTAAGTAAGTCAAAGAGATGCCACACTTTTTTATTTGATGTTAACCAAGGACCTGTAGCTGTGCCCATGCATGGCTCTAGTGAAGAATTCCCCCAGAAGCACATCCCAGCTCACACTCATTCCAGAACTGAAAACAAAATGTTTAAACATTTCTACAAGGCTCATCTGAGTGCATATTCCCAGGACATGTCTAATACACCATTTGGCTTGGGCCATGCCTGAGAGAATTGATCACCTTCCTCCTTTTAAGGAGCAGATAGAGAAGGGCCTCATATTTCCTTTTACAGGTTATGCAAGATCTCTTTGCCTATTTTAGAATAAGGGACAAAATAGGCTCTTCAGCAAAAGACTCTACTAGAAAGTTCAGTGCCATTAGGTTTTCTGTGGAGGTTTAGCTGTGACCAAAATTCTTCCAGTCTATGTAAACGTTTAGAGCTGTCCACTGCTGTTCCTCGCTCCCTCATCCACGCTGCATAAAACTCCCAAAAGTAACAACCCCCTCCATGGGCTCCATAGCGCGTAACGTTTCCTTTCTGTGGTGCCAGTGTTGTGCAAGTTTGCTTTAAAACATGGTGCCAAGTTCTTGTGAAGCAGAAACTGCTCCAAAATCCCTTCACCCTTCTGTTGCGAGAAAGGCTAAGCTAACTACCCAACCAGAGACCTCAGTGCACGCTGGCTGGTACCACAGCTTGTAGTCTCACTGTTCCCCATTTCTTTTTTACTGTTTTCTCTTGCCGTTTCCAGGAGATATTCCTAGATTGTCTTACTGAAAGCTCTGCTGAAGCTGCTGCAGACCCAGGGCACAACACTTCACACTGGTAAGAGGTGCTGGTTCAGGAGGATGTACCACATAAAAAAATATAGGACCAAGATATTACTTCTTGACCTCTTAACTTGTTCCAATACATTCATTTTTAGTAGAACATTTCCAGAGGACAGGTGCTGCCAAGAGGTCTTACTCTCACAACACAAGTCAATCAGAACTTGAATTCCCAGTTAAACCATTTCTGCTGCTGGTGGGACAGTGGCAGTACAAAAGATCTGAAGGTCATTCGAAAGCAGGGAACGCACACACAGCCTCCTGCTTTCTGCTTATCTTCTAACCAAGAGCACTACAGTGAAGGTGAGTCACCAGCACAAAACCAGTGGGTGACTCTTCCAGAAGTGCCTGCATCTAAGTGAAGGTAAGATGGAGGAAATGCAGACTTTGGGCAGACTTTAAAGAACATGATTTTGTCCTTTCCCTGAATAAAAAATTCATTAAAAATAAACCTGGGGGCTCACCTATGACAGAAAGAAAGAAGATTCATAACTTCACTTATGTGAATCCCAGATTTAAAAGTACATCTAAGATGAATGACTGGGAATAAAACTTGTTCTGGTGAGGCCTTTTCCTCAGGAATTCCCATTTGCTGGGAAAGAGGCAAACTCTGTTATCAGGGAAGTGAGTCTACTGAAGAGAGCCACTTCCCCAATCAGAGTGTGAAGCATGACATTTAAAATTATTAAATTTTAATCATTTATATAATTAATCATATATATATAATCATTAAATCCTTTATATTTTACTTTTTTATGATGCAATCATGAATTAGCTTTTTCCGCATTTGTAATGAGAGGATAGAACAGATGGTCAGGGCTTAGTTCAGGGTGTGATAAATCCATTAAGATAACCTACAGAAAGCTGCTGCTATGGCAGATGCTGCCAAATAACTGTTCGTTCAATGGTCTGTTCAGGCTTTGGGTACGGGGTGGAAGAACCATCCCACTTCTTCACTACCTTGAGGTACAAGGGATAGGAAATCACACACAAGACTGTGGAATGTATTATTACTGTCTATGTGGCTTGAGAAATTTGGATGGTATGATATAGGGGATGCATAGGGCAATCCAGGGAAATAGCCTGGAGTTGTTGCTTCCCAATAGCTGCCCCTGCAGGTACACATAGCCCATACAGGCCTGTGTGTCTACTTTTAGCTGAACCAATGGCCCAATTGCAGAGTAGAGTTCTCTAACAAGGAGTGATTGCAAAATATCCATTTCACTTTGAATTCATGCCTTCGCTTGTTCTGCAAGACACTTCTCAAAACATTTAGGATCCTAGAATAATTTATGCTGGACTGGACCTAGGGAGGGCATTTGGTCTATTCCAACTCAAAGCATTTGTCACAGTGGACCAAACCTGTAGGTCCCTTCCAACTGGAACTATTCTATCTTGTTCTGTTCAAATTCCACCCTTAGACTCCTGCAGAAGGCTCATGCTTAAGCTAGTCCGCCTATTTTTTTCTAAAAACAAAGGTCAGAATAATCAGGTATCCTATAACTTATAATTAGCAAAAAGATATATTAAACCATAAAGCAAGCAAAGCAAGAAGTTGTGTGTTCATTATTTCTGATGATGTCTTTGCCTGAATCACATCAGACTACTCTGTAAATGAATCTAAGCAGAATCCCTGGGTCAGCTTCAGGGAGGTCCAGAGCTCTGTTCAGTCTCTCTGTGCCTGAGGTGCTTTGACACTTTAAATCTTGCTGAAATCCCTCTCCATCATTGGAATTCAGCACCAGAGTATTACCACATATCTTTGGATAGCATTTGCATATGAAAACAGTATCTCCACATACCAAGAGCTCAGAGTTTTCATCACACCTGAGTGGCTAGGAACTGGCTGTGGAGTTGTATCAAGTCTATTAGAGCAGAAGGAAGACTCTGCTGAGGAAGAATGTGGAGTTCCTGCGATATTTCCTACAAAAGCATTAAGGATTCTGTGGGGGAAAATGGAGCCCACCACAGATACAATCTACCCCCGAAGGGCTCATGCCAGTCCCCTGTTCTTCATTCCCCAGGGACCTGGGCACACAGTACCACTGCATAGGACAGATCCAAGATAAATTCTTGCATGTTGAGTTCCCACGTGTTTCAATGGGAACATCTCATGGGAGGGGACACACATTAAGTATGATAAAGTGAGCAGAAGAAAACTGATTGCATACAAATGCATACAAAATAAAAACACCACAGTTTCAGTGGTTTCTTCCATATGTAATAATGTCGAGGGGCTTTATTAACAAAAGCTGCGTAAGCAGAGGTCTGAATTTGAGCAGGGTTCATCTGACTTCTTCACTTCACTGCTTCCTGGCTGACTGCTCAGTATCATCCAGCGTAGGCATTATGTGATGCTCTGCTTGTCCCCAAAGCCATCAGTCAAGACAGAGCCTGGGCTGGGAAGTGGTTAGAGTCCGAATAAATATTAGCAGGATAGTCTGGACCGTGCCTGCTTCCCTCCTACTCTCGCCTTCACCCGCCCACACAGGCTGCTGCTGCTGCTGCCTCAGCTCAGAGTAACACTTACAGGAGGTGCTGAGAAGCTTCTCCCCCATCTACACACATCTAATAGGACACTGTGTGACCCCTCCCTGGATGCAGCTTGTGTACACGCTAGAGTCAGGTGACATTTTTAACAATAAACCTGCTGAATTACAATTCAGGGAGAATTTACTTGAAAATTTACATAATGTAGCTAGGGGAGACTTTTAACTGCTTCCCCTTGTGCATAAGGGAAAAAAAAAAGGGAGGAAAATTAAGTAACAGCCTAATTGGCTTTTATAACAGTCTATGGAGAGAAATGCAGGCCGGATGTCTGCCTAGCTACACAGCTCGGTATGTGCTGTAACTATGGGAGGCAATATTACAGGCATGACAGGACAATGATTTGGTTTTTCAGGACCAAAGATCTGAAAAATTAAATACCTCCAGCCAGGGGGGTTGTTTACCAGTTGAGGAAGGCCTGTCATGCTAGTCTGGATGAATGCAGGTCAGGCTTCTCCTGGAAGGAAAAAGGGAGGATCTGCTTTGCCAGTGCACCACCTCAAATGTGGATCATGGCTGCTGGGATGAATGGGATCTGCCTCTTCCACCCCCACCCCCCCCTCATTTTAATCAAGGCGTGGTTTGCAATGAACTGGGTGACTGAGGGGATGATGAAGCTTGGGCTGATGTGCCTGATGCCTTCTGCTCCTTCTGTTCCCACTGCTCCGCTAGGTGCATGGCCCAGGTGCCTGCTCCCCTCCTCCACAGCCCAAGGAAAATGGCACAGCAACAGACCTGTGTTGGTTCCGTTCCCACTGCCTCAAAAGTGCTGCATTTTGGGATGGTACCCTTAACAGCCACAAAGAAGATATTGACAGTTCGTTTTTTATTTAATTTTGTCTTTAAAAAAATCACCAGTTAAATCAACGTCAATTACATGAAAACATGCAAGTTTCGGGACTAATCACTTTCTCTCACCCTCCTTCATTTCCCAGATACTTCAGGGAGAACTCCATTGATTACCTGTCCTCCTCAGCAGCAAACACAACTTGAGATCAAGACCAGGAATGTGAGGGAAATGCCTCTTTTCCACAGTTGAACTGGAGACAGAGTGACACCATCGCTTGCCACCATTTTCCAGACCTAAGCCATTTCCTAGAACTGGGGGAGTGTCAGACTGGCTCCCTCCTCTCCAAAGGCCCTCTAAAATGTACCAGTTCCCTCCTAATGCATGGCTAAATGACTGATATAAGATGCCACAGGGGTGAGCAAGAAGTGGTTTGAAAAGACCTTTGATCGTTACTTCCCCAAATGGCCGGACATGGCAAAATGTTGTCCCTCTGCCACAGCACAGATGCTGCCCCCTGCGAGCACCAAGAGCCCTGGCAAAGCCCTCTCCTCCCTGCCCAGCAGCACTCCTCTCCTAACATCCTGAGGACTCACAGCCATCGCATCTCCAGGATTTTTCTCAAGGTACTCTGGCTTCATTCCACAGTGTCTTATTACACAGGACAAAACCATAAACCCAGTGTGTGCCCCCTCTCCCCTACTGCAGCAGGTAGTGAATGCAACCATCTACGAGCCTTGCTGATATCCATCTTTTGGTGCAATACTTCGTGGAGCCAAGCAGAGGGAGTAATTAGAGCCATGGTACTGATCATACGCGGTGCTGGATGTCCTCAGCTGCCTTTGAACTCACTGTCTTAGACATAAGGATGGTTCAATAAATGTGTATATACAGGACTGATCACACAACACTATTTTTTTAGCTTTGATTTCAGAATTAGGCTAGAAGAACTAGACTAGAAAGAAAGCAATTTCCTATTAAACACCATTATTAGTTTTGTTATCCAATACAATCAAAACAGTTCCTTCCACATCCTTCAGAAATGATGAACCAAATCAGAAATGGAACTATTGGGGGGAAAAAAAGCAGACAGTAGCATTAAGGCTTAACCTGGAAAACTAACTTGTGTTTAGGTTTACCTTTTAAGGACAGGAGGCCAAACTAAAACACGTCCTACTACAGGTATATTTATAGACCAAGTCAAAGCAGCTGTGACTGCAAATCGCACCCGCTAACAAGTACCCCTCAGACAGCACAGCACCTTCGCCATCCCTCGATCAGCGACAGCAATGCCTGTAACATGCATCCAGGACAGCAAGAGCACTTGGGCATGCAAGCACCAGACTTGTTCTCCTTAAAGACAACCTACAGTGGCTGCAAGCAAACGCCTCATCAGGATTTTGTTATATTTATGGCTGCAGCGATTGTTGATTTTTTAAGCTGGTCTCTTTGCCTCTCGGTAAGAAGTGATCGAAACCTTTACCTGAAAATGCTGCATCGGCATTTAAGCGAGTTCTTTACTCATTGCTTTTATAAGGTCTGGCTGCTCAGGCTGAGCGCACGGATCAGACGCGCCCGGCGCGTTGCCCAGTCCCGCCCCCCGGACATGGCGGCGCGGCTGCCCCTGAGGGTGCTCGGAACCCGCGGCCTCCGCCTCGTCCTGCTCCGCTCCGGCGGCTGCGCCCGCGCTGCCCACAGGGGCACAGGTACCCCCGGGGCACGGGTACCCGCAGGGGCACAGGGACCCCCCACAGGGACCCACAAGGGCACAGGGACCCCCAGGGCACAGGGACCCCCGGGGCACGGGTACCCACAGGGGCACGGATATCCACAGGGGCACAGGTACCCCCCACGGGTATCCACAGGGGCACAAGTACCCCCCACGGGTACCCCCGGGGCACGGGTACCCACAGGAGCACAGGTAACCCCCACAGGGACCCACAGGGGCACGGGTACCCACAGGGGCACAGGGACCCACAAGGGCACAGGGACCCCCAGGGCACAGGGACCCCCAGGGCACAGGGACCCCCAGGGCACGGGTACCCACAGGGGCACGGATATCCACAGGGGCACAGGTACCCCCCACGGGTATCCACAGGGGCACAGGTATCCCCGGGGCATGGGTATCCACAGGGGCACAAGTACCCCCCACGGGTACCCCCGGGGCACGGGTACCCACAGGGGCACAGGTAACCCCCACAGGGACCCACAGGGGCACGGGTACCCAGAGGCACAGGTAATCCCCCACCTGGAGCTTGGGAATGGGGGGAAGGAGCAGGAGCTGCCCTGCAAGGGGAGGGCATCCCCGTCCTCGATGTCTTCTGGCCGGTTAGCACGCTGTAGGTTTTCATCTTGAACTGGCCGGGTAAACTCTGGGGTTTTTGGTTAAACTATAATTTTCAAATTCACACACACACCCCCTGCCAACTCTCACCCCTGCATTGCAAGAGATGAGTGCAGGCAAGCATCTCTCAGGAGCTGATTTTTTTTTCGAAGATCCTGTGCTGATGGGAGATAGGCGGGGAAGTAGTTCCCCACCTCAGACTTTTTGATTAGGAAGGTATTAATCTATTTTACTCGCTGTTTTTCAGCCAATCTATTAATTCTTTGCCAATTCCATACCACGATAAATGTTCTACATGATGTGTACAGACTCACAGGAGGCATTGCTGGAGTTTTGCGCTGTAATGGGTGACTTCTGCCCTCCTGTTATGTGTCCCTCACTTCACTACAGCCCCTTTCTCTTGGTCTTTAGGTGTTTCTTTCTTCCAGTGCTCCTTCTTAGCACTGCTTTTCATTGGGGCCTGTGAAAGTTGCTAGTCTTCAACGGCTCATAGATGAACATTAGTTCTGGTTTCTGAGGGTTTCCAAGAGACAAACTCCAAACCTTTTAGTGATACCCGGGGATGAGGAAGGAGCAGGAGCACTGCACGAGCAGTTATTCCAAGCCAGAACAGAAGGTTGTGCAGGGAGAGTGGGAGGTATTTTGGGTCATAGGTGCCTGTTTCTATTATAAGCCTTCCCAAGTGTTTTGCTGGAGTTGCCATCTAGATGTAGCACATCAAATGGAAAGCAGATGCAACATCCTGCATTCCCCCCTGCTCATATCCCTGAATTGCTCACTGTGCTCTGTCTGTACCCATAGAAACTTGGGGAGAACTAAGATGATGATGGAAAGCATCAACGCAGTCTAAATTAAAATGGTGTTAAAAATAATACAAATTATCTTTCTACATCTAATTGAAGACAAAGGGTCTCTGACTAAACAAGCTGAAGCAAGTGCTGCTACAGACTGGAAAAAAAAATTGACTCCGGAGCAATTCTATGTTACAAGAGAAAAGGGAACTGAACCGGTAAGCAAAGGCACTAATGCTGTCCAAGGGTAGACCACCTCCTCTGCCTGCTGGGCTGAGAAAAACCTGCTTTGGGGAGCTGTGACCACTCAGTTGCTTCACAGGATTTCCCCTGCCTTCCTGTTGATGAAAGTTAGACTCATTATACTGAATGAGGTGGATTTTGTTCTGACACAGACTGGTTTGAAGATGAAAAAGCGTTCTGCATTCTTTTCGTATTTTGTTGGGGTTTTTTCCTGGGATGCTTCGCTGCCAGCTCAGCAGTCTGTGTGGCAGTAGTGGAGCCTCTCCAGAGGGGAGGGAAATTGTATTTTTGTCCTGTAGTCTCCTTTTTTTGACCATATATAGATTAGCCATGGAAATATTATACATAGCACTCCATTCAAGAGATGGGTTATCCCTCATGTGCCAGATCACCCACCTACCTTGTCCCCATACTTTGTTTCCTTCTGTGATGGAGGCCATGTAGTGTTGTGGATGGAGCACTGGCATCCACAGCCCAGAGCCAGGACTTCTGCATGCATGGATCATGCACCATGGGATTAAATCAGTTAACTGCCCAAATTCATATCTATAAAATAAGGATCTGAGTTCCAGACCATGCAGGAAGGAGGAGAGTCCCTTTGTAGAGCCACTTTAAAGTTGTGGCACTCCATAGCAGAGCCATGGTCTTTGGGATCCTGCACATTTCACCAGTTCCTCGGAGGTCACGACTCCATCCCTGGTACCTGGATGATTTATGCATCTGACTGGTTTCAAGGTTTCCGGGGGTAGGGGGTAGTCTTTCTTCACTATTAATCCAAAGGCATCCTCCCCTTCATTTCTTTGGGCTGCTAATGTTTGTTCTTCAAAGCCCCCCTGTGAAGCCTTCTTTTTATGGTTTTTCTCCTGTTTTGAATCTGATTCCTACATGCTTGTTCCAGATGGTGAGCTTTCAAAGACCTGCATTATTAACTTCTCTTTTTTTCCTTCCTTTTTAAAAGCCATTTAGTGGGATCTATCTGAATAACACAGAATCAGGAATATACTACTGCGTGTGCTGCAATGCCCCACTCTTCAGGTAACATCCTTAGGATTTCACAGTGTCTTTAACAAGCCCTAATTGTGGCAGGAGGGGCAGTGTCTTTTCACGAGCAGAAGTGAAAAGGAGGAGGAATGGAAAGAAGGACAGTCCCTACATATGAGACCTCCAGGGTACCTGTGTTGATACAAACACATGGTACGCCTTTTCCTCGAGCATGTGAGGGTCTCCAGTGGCCACCAGACAGTTGCTACATTATGGTCTGGCTGTTTCTCCTGCCACACACTGTTCTTTTGGGTTGATAATAATTCTCTGTTTAAGAGAGCCTTAAACCACAGGCTGCCACAAATTATGTGTATTTGTGCATTAGTATCACTGTGTGTTTGCTCTGTTCTTGTGCTCCTCCAAAGTCTGCCACTCATGCTGCTGGGCTATGGAGACCTTTGGTCTGCCTTTGTTTGGCTGTTGTGATGGTCTTATTGCTGGGTCCCTCACACTGGAGCTAAGACCCCCACCCCCTACTTGTTCCTTAATTGAATTCCACTATTCCTACTTTTTTGCTTAAATCTACTTTTTAAAACCTAACTGCAAATGACTGTGCTGTTAACCCCAGTGCTCTTTACAATACTATATATTTTGCAACTTCATTAACATCTAAGTAAAAGGAAATAGAGTGCCTTGGAGTAGGATATGCAGTGGGTGTTCTGTTCTCTGTAACTGAACCAGAAAAGACAGTTTCTTTTGTTTTTGTTCTAGAAAATAGCCCTTTTTTATTATTATTCCAAATTCAATGAAATGCAGCTGATATGCCCATGTTTCTGAAGACTTTAAAGGATGCATCACAAATGAGACCTTCAGATGGAAAGCTGAGGAACAAGAGATCTGGATAGTAAGAAAGGAGGGGAAAATGTAATGGCTGTATTGAAAGTAAACCTAAAGTAAGCAATTAAATGGTAAAAATGAAGGCTGATCATTTTGAACGGTTAATTTTTCTTTGGCCAAGTGTAGAAAACTGTTGTTATGCAAGTATGCATTTGCTTAAATGTATCTTTTTCTGTAGAGGTTTGCTAATAAAGACTTATAAATAAATTTATTTCCAAAGTTCCAGCATTACAAAATATTCTGAAGACAAATACAAACTCTAATAATACCTCTGGAAAATTCAGATAAATTAGAGACATTTTAAATTACTAAGCTGTGGAAGAGTTCCTTCAATTCCTTCAAATTTGCCTTCAATTTCGGCATCTTTTTTATTAGACAATAGATATTGAGAGATCAACGTGAAGAGAGACAAGCACTGGAGGGAATTGCTTCTGCTGCTAAACTAGTAACAAATCGACAATATAACCAAACAGTCAAGCTGCTTTTTGCACTATCCAGCTCTCAGAGAATATAAGTACTTTTGTTTAAAGCACAAGATAATGCTGAGCCTCACAGACAAAAAAAAATAAACTGTCAGAAAAAGAACCTCGTAAGAAAATTTGAAATTATTAAATGTGCAAAATGGTCCGAAACTATATTTTCCATTGATGTATTATGTTGTGGAGAACACTAAAAATGAGAGGAGGAAATGGTATTGGATAAGAGATTCATTCATCATATTTATTTCCTAGTCCATTAAAAATGTCCTTTCTTTTTCAAATGCATTAGATCATTAGCTACAGGTAAACATGAAGTATTTCTTCCTTTCTTTGAAACATGTGTGTATACATTTATACCAGAATTTATTACCTTCTGCTACCAAATACTCATATGAAAGAGTTGGAAATACGTGGAACAAACCCCTAACCTTTATAGATAGCAAATTGTGGTGCTTTAATTAAACCTCAAACCTTCATCAAACCATAAACCTACAGCTGAGATTCATACAGCAAAAAGCACTTTTTAGAATTATCTGGATTCCATCCAGGATGACTGAAATAGGGATCAAAGTAAATGACATGTGCTGGAGGAATGGCGTGTCGAAGGCTAATCTAATGCATATGTTTAGGGAAAGTCCATTTATCCATAAATTAAGTGGTGAAATACTTCAAAGGACAAATATTATCTTGAACAGCAATATTTTTGGGTACTAAAATGTTTCTATTAGGGAATCTAAGTGATATTACTGTTAGTAAAACCACACAGAGGCCATTTCTGTTGAGAGCTAATTTAACAGCTCAAAGGATTGTTCCTTTAGCAGTGGAAAACATCTACAATAAACTTCAGTATTGTGAGTGACACGTAAGAGACAGAGTCAGTCAGGGTCAGATGCAAAACCCACATAGCGTTAAAGACCTTCCGTGACTCTGTGGGGTTTTAGAGAGGATCTTTGTATCTATGTATGAATACACATAAGGACCCCTGTGTCAAAAAGTTCTAATAAAAAGGAATCAAAACAGATATATGTCAGGGAAACTCAGAAGTCTTGTACAGATATGTGTTCCCCCAGGTTATTCTTGTGGTGGCTGGTAGGCAGTGTTAATGTGGTTTTGTAGCAGAGAAAGCAGGCAGCCCTCTTTGGCTGAAAAGAAATAGTGCTGGAGCCCTAAGGACCTTCACATACAAAGGCAGAGTCCACAAACTGCATTTGCTTCAGTGCAGCCTGCTTCTGTACTGTGTCCTGTTTCTCTCCAGTTTTATGGAGAGGAGGAGGAGGAAGGAGAGCATTTCTTATGGGTATTTGTGCATTGATGTAAAGGACTAAGCAACAACCCTCACAAAAACTAGCCTTTGGTCATTCTGTGCTTGCAAATCCTCTTTTCTTTCCAGAGTTGCATTGCTCAAAGACAACGCTGTACAGATGATTATAAAATCCATGCTGACGCACACACTGTTCTTTGGGTTGGATGTTTTAAGCTCTTTGCCTAGCTTGTTTGTCTTGTCTTTTTAAAGGCACTGCAATCTATTTTCAGCTTTTTCTTCACTGTGTTAATATCCCACCAGAATATACATGATATACACTACATACTTTGTTTTAAACTCAGTCTTAAGTAATGGACCAATCCCCTTGACCAAGAGCTGCTACTGGTGTTGATGTCTCCATCCACCACTAGATGCCAGTAAGAGCATTGAGTTTGTGAAACTGGGAAAAAACTTAAATCGAGAGGAAATGGTTGAGGTGAGTCTCCAGCCCACTTATCTGAGAAGTATGTGAATCTATCTTCCTTTCTTGTTCTAGCTCACTCTAGGTCCCTCTTTGATAGGAGAAAGTCCATATTGCTATTAAAACTTGCACAGTTTTAAATAGGAGGAATTATCTCAATTCTGTACTAAATCCCAAAAATATTTTCTGATTGTGTTTTCCAATACACTCTAGGTTTTAATATGCAGCTAAACAGCGTTGGTCCTCCTAGATGTTAACAGGAGGTAATCCACAAGTTGACAGTGTGTAATACTGTTTCTGATTATTGCAATTATCTCTTGGGAAAAGTAGATCTTTGTGCTGTGAAGATTTCTCATGGGTTGATTGATAGTTTGAGCAAGGCTCTGTTTGATTTTCCAAACCAGCTTGATGGCTGACTGCCAGACAAAGCCATCATCATCAGGTGTGAGCCTGGTCTGGTGGGCCAACCCAGCCTTTGTCCGTTCTTCGTTTCTTCTCGTAAACTTTCTGAGATTGTGCTATATTGGGCCAGGCTTTGAACTGCAACTTAGTAGGTGTGATTCAGCTAAACACCATGCTCAGTTGTTGGGAAAACCCTTTTCCAAGCTTTATGAAATGCCAACCTGTCATTGAAATAGAAACAGTGAGGCAGAATCTCCTGCTGTGGGCTGATCGAGAATTCCCTTTGGAAAAGAGTTTCCAGCACAGTCTGATGCCAGTGAGAAAACTTCTACTGTGCCAAATATTATTAATAGTGGTACAAGACAGGAATGAGGAGAAAAGCCAATGTTCTTAATAGAAGCAGACTTTTTTGTAACATCTCAGTTATTAATTAACAAGAAAATCTGGTTTCCTCTTGTAGCTCAGAAAAGAAGTACAATTCTGGGACTGGATGGCCATCGTTTTCTGAGGCTTATGGTACTTGTGGCAGAGATGAAAGTAATACCAATATCACGAGACGACCAGATAACTCATTGGGATTAGCTAGAACTGAAGTTGTCTGCAAACAGGTATGTTTATTTTGAAAACAATATGCAAAGGCACAGATCTTAACAAATATGTTTTCTTTGTGCCCATGAAGGAATCTACCTAAATACAACAGCGAGAATTACGGTATCACTGGAACCATTCTGCCTGACTTCTTGGTATGAAACATGAGTAGAGTATCAAATATAGGCAGTCAGTTTGGTGGGAAGAAAAGTATCTGACTGGGGAAAGTAGTTGTGCAAGTGTAGCCAAGGGCTGAAAATTTAGACAGAAAATTTACTGAAAGGACCTCAGGTGCAATGCAGGGTGTGACAAGAGACAGTAGAAGAGACTCTGAGATAGGGACCATGCATTTGGCTCATCAGAGGGAGTTACTCCTAGTTCAGCTGCAAAATATTTGCTGAAGATGTTCTTAAAATATGCAGAGATGGACATAATACAGCCTTACTAGGTAGTGAGTTGTAACCTGCATATCTTCCTACACTTGGTTTGACATTGGGGAAAATACTGTTTGCAGCTGTTGAAGCTTATTACTCTTTGCCCTGCATGGTGGTGGCTGTGCCCTGCATCTCCACAGCTATTTTCTGTGGATTCTCGTGGTTCACAGAAGCCACCCTTCTATTTTTGATAGCTGTTTTGACTCCCTCAGTCATCTCTTTTCTAGACTAGAAAGGTCCAGTTCCTTCAAATGTTTCTTTTTATGCAGTGTTTTTTAGTGTCCTGATCATCCTGTTCCTCTCTTTTGCATTTTTTCCAATCCACCCTTTTCCTTCTCCAAGTACAGTGCAAAGCTGGACATAGTGCTGCAGCTGGGCCCAGCCTGCATCAGAGGTTGGGGGCTGTTCAGGTGTTTTGTAAGTGGTGTTCCTGTCCTTACACCTTTACCTTTCCACAGCCCATGACACACAGTTGTTTTGGGACATGCTGCAAAACCCAGGTCCTTTCCTAAAGAACTGCCACCCCTAACCATTTCTTCCCAACTCTGAACCTGTTTATTATTTTTGTTATGGTATAAAAGTATGCAATTGAGATTGATGAATTGCATCTTGGGTTTGGTTTTTTATTGTCTGTGTGTATCTTTTTTTCCCAAACTGTTAAGATTGTTAATGCTGTCCTTCAGTGTGCCTGCAGCCCTTCTAGCAGGATTAGGTACATCTGCAAACGTAACAAGCATTTGCTGCAGTCCATTATCTTGGTAGAGTTCAGGTTTGCAGCAATATGCAGCAAGCCTCTTTCAAGAACTCCATCTGAAGCCAACCTTCCAATTTTATAATGAGCCACTGATAGCTATACTGAGTCTAATTTTTTTACATCAGTTATTTGGAGGAGGGAGAATCCTCAGTTAATCTATGAGAGGGACCTACAGTGACTGTCTTAACTGAAATTTTCATAATATATTGAGAAGTCTAGATACTTCCAGTTATTTCCTTTATACTTTCTGGCACTAATACCTTTTTGACTTCCTCTTCTGGAATCTGCTTGTTTGGGGGGCAGGTATTTGCCTGCTGGCCAGAGGTGATTACTCCAGGTCGTATTACTAGTCTCTCCCTAAGACTTCCCCCACACACAATTCAATAGTGAATTAATTATAGAACTTTCTTAATTCAGGATAGCACAGTAGGTACCATCATAATGGTAGTCCATAATTAAAGTGGTAATAATGCAATAATAATGGTTTCCAGTCACCAGGGGTGTTCCCCAGGGCTCAGTATTGGATCCAGTCCTATTTAGTATCTTTACTGATGATCTGGACAAGGGGATCGAGAGTATCCTCAGTAAATTCACAGACAACAGCAAGTTGGGTAGGACTGTTGATCTACTGGAAGGTAGGAGGGCTCTCCAGAGGGATCTGGACAGGCTGGATCAGTGGGAAGAGGCTAATGTTACAAGGTTCAACAAGGCCAAGTGCTGGATGCTGCCCTTGGGTCACAACAACCCTGTGCAACTCTACAGGCTGGGGGAAGAGTGGCTGGAAAGCTGCCCAGCAGAAAAGGACCCGGGGGTGCTGGTCAACAGCAGCTGAACACGAGCCAGCAGTGCCCAGGGGCCAAGAAGGCCAGTGGCATCCTGGCCTGAATCAGCAATAGTGTGGCCAGGGAGAATCAAAAATGATTCTTTCCCCTGTGCTTGGCACTGGTGAGGCTGCACCTCCAGTACCATTTTCAGTTTTGGGCCCCTCAGTTCAGGAAGGGCATTGAGGTGCTGGGGCGAGTACAGAGAAAGGCAGCGAAGCTGGTGACGGGTCTAGAGGGCAGCTCCTATGGGGAGCAGCTGAGGGAGCTGGAGGTGTTCAGCCTGGAGAAAAGGAGACTCAGGGGTGACCTTATCGCTCTCTACAGCTGCCTGAAAGGAGGGTGCAGCCAGGTGGGGTTCGGTCTCTTCTCCCAGGCAACCAGCAATAGGACAAGAGGACATAACCTCAAGCTGCACCAGGGGAGGTTCAGGCTGGACATCAGGGGGAATTTCTTCGCGAAAAGGATTGTTAATCATTGGAGTGGGCTGCCCAAGGAGGTGGTAGAGTCACCATTGCTGGAAGTGGTCAAGAAATGACTTGGATGCAGCACTGAGTGCCATGGTCTAGTTGACAAGGTGGTGATCAGTCAAAGGTTGTACTCTGATCTGAGAGGTCTTTTCCAACATAATTGATTCTGTGATTCTGTAATAATGCAATAATAACATGGTAATAATTTCTGTTGCAGTGTGACGCCCATCTAGGCCATGTGTTTGATGATGGTCCCACACCTTCTGGGCAGAGGTTCTGTATCAACAGTGTTTCATTAAACTTCAAACCAGGCTCTGGTCAGTGAGAAGTGGATCTCTGTGGCTTACAGAATGTCCTTTCTCTGCTTGTACAGCATGCTTGTGAAAAACTCTCATGCTTTTAATATATAACCCAAATTTTAGTACTTATGCCATAGTAGCTTTGTTTTCCAGCTATTTGTTAATAAAATACATATTTTTGTCATAACTCTTTTGAGTTCTGTCTTTCCATGGTTAGTGTGATGTTTTGATCTGCTTATTGTATTTTTTAATTAAAAAAAATCTGTGCAATATTTCACTTTAATAACTTTCATCATTAACTGTATTGAGGCTGCTGAAATGACATGCTCTCCTTAAACTGACTGTCTATTCTGACCAGTAATTGTGGCACCCAGGAACACAGATATACATGGCTGATCATGCCACAGCTTATACTTCTGTAAAATCATCATATCTTTCAAAAGAGAAGCAAAAATAATGTGAATCTTCAAATAAGGTTTGGGGTTTTTTTCCCCTCTACTGTGAGAGACCTTTAGCCAAGCCAAGTGACTTTTCCATGAACCCACAAAAGCAAAGTCCTGAAGGAGGGCCTAATTAAAACTATTCAGGCAATGGAGGCGGTGGAGACACTGAGTCTTTTTTCTTTAAAATCAATTATTTTGATTCTGTGTCCAATAGCAGAGCTGAAATAGGATTTGCTCCAGGAACTTTCTCTTGCAGCAATAATATGATAATAATGTAATGATATGTGTAATATTTCCAGACTTCTGTTATCATTTATATATTTCAGAATCCAAAAATAAAAATGAAGGTGAACTTTACTGTATTTGGGGAAAATAAGTCAGCATCAAAAAACAGGTTTAGTAAAATTATGCTTTTGCTGAAAACATGCCTTGTCTGTTCTTCCTTGTACAAGTTTGTAAATACTTCTGTATTCGCCCAAGCATTGTCATTATGGTTTGCTCTAACAGAAAAATAAATCCTATTTTTGTTAAATTGAGCTTTCCTGCTTTCAGATTTTCTTTCCAGAGAAAATAATCTCTGAGTCAGAACATCAGCTTCACTAAACTGGCTGGGTTTAAATGCTTCCCTGCTGAGAGTTACTAGGCAACATCTCATTTGGCTTTACCTATAACAGACTGTTTCCATTCTCCCCACTTTGGTTGCCTCAGTAATAAAAAGGATGTGTTCATTTACTAGTGTAGTCTTAAATCTTTTCAACGGACCTCTATTGCACTGAATTTACTTTTAGTCCTTCTGTCTTGGAGCTCTGCAGTTTTCCATTCTCCTGTACTTTCTACAGGAGAACTTCACAATTCCGTAACTTTTAAAAACATCAGAGACAGTGATTGCTACAGCCAACCTACACCAGAATGGCACAAAGGCCACCAGAGGTGTGAAGCAGCTTGAATGAAGCAGACACTTGCTGGCTGCTGGTTTTACGTAGTGTCACAGACGGTGAAAGTCACGTTGTCATCAGAGGTGTCTGTTAACAGCAACAGCATGGTGCTTGCTGTACCTGTGCTGCACCGTGCTCTGCCACGCACAGGTGCCCTTGAATCACCTCCTGCTGTCCCCTGCCTGCTCTGACCAGGCCATACATGCCCGCTCTGCTCTCAAGTGTCTTCACAGGTTGTACAGAAATTAGCATCTTCGCATGCTCTGAATTCATGTGCCCTCGCATACTTTCATCTGCTATTTGGTTTTCTTAAAATCTATTGCAAAGCTACCGGAAAGGATGCTTGACCTTTAAAGGCATTCTTTAGTCGGGCAGCCCTCTTCTTGCCTTTTCCAAAAGGACAGGGTTCTCTCGGAAAGGAGGAAGGTGTTCCCAACTGTACTCCTGTGTTCAGCCAAGTGCTGGTGGAGAAGCTGGGACTTGCCTTAGGACAGTGACTTTTGGTGGGATACCAGATGGAAATGCTCCTCATTTCTGCAAATGGCAGAAAGTAGAAGAGAGCTGGCATAATATCTGGTTTTTTCCTATCCCCAGAGATACCAGGTCTCACAACACCTTTTATGGATGAGAGTGCCACACAAACAAAATAGACCATGAAGCTGACAAAACAAGTGTCCACACAGACATGTGCAAACCACGCTCAGTTTGGTACCTTGGATTTACATGTTTGGTGGAGATCAACTCTTAGTGAACGGGCAAGTTAGTAGCTACTATTGACAGAGGAATCTTGCCTGGAGAGAGCACATTTGTTTTACACCTATAAACATAATTGTATGCAACTGGATGTTTGGGATCGGGAACAGTTGGTGCCTCCTCACTCATGTGGCAGGATTACCTGAAGAAAGAGATATATAATGATATGAACAGACCCATGTTTTCAAGAACAGCACTTGACCTGCACTACACTGATACATCGCCAAGAAAACACAATAAAGCCCCTGACAAACTAGACACTGAGCTAAGCAGCCTTGTTCTGCTCCAGATGAAAGAGGGAAAAAGGAGAAAGTTTGTCTTTGACCATGTGTATCATCAAGAGTAATGGCACATCACCTTTAAACTGCTGGACATTCGGGACCTCTGACCAAAACTTTGGGGCAGTGTACTTCATTATCTTCTGTGTCTGTGGTACCAACCACACCAGGACAGATCCCAACTAAAGGCCCAAAGTGTTTTAAGATCATGAATAATGAAGACCGATAATAATGGAAGACGCTGTTAAAGAGTATCATAGGCTACAAGAATTTCCTCATGTATCTGCAATGACTTTGTTCCACCGTAGGGAGTAATGAGCAGTTGCTTCTCTGAGCTGAATATACTCTGCCAGGCAACTGCAGATTTATATTCCACCCTTCACATCTGAGAAGTTTTTCAACATGATTATTTCATTAATTAGTTTCAATTATGATACTTTTTATCCCCTTGTGTTTTTAAATAACCTTTCTATAAATCCTAATTGAGGTTTCTACATAATTCTTAAGAGATTTTAACATCTTAAATAAACTATTTGAAGACTTTCTTAGTCTTTACAGCATGTCTACAAGGCAAGTAACTATTCTCAATTTTACTGAGAGAAAACTCAATGAGAAGAATTTCATTGACTTGCTCAAGACTTCAAATTAAATTTGCAGCCAAGCCAGAATAAGACTTTGCATGGCTCATAACAGCATCCATATCTTCAGACCCTGCTTTTTCTGAAAGTTGTTTTGGTACTTGATTGTTTTGGAGGGTGAGAGTGTAAATTATCAAAAGAGAGGAGGTAAACTTACCGTATGTTTTTCCAGCTATGGTATTAAAACCGAAGCTAAGCCAACTCGGGCAACTTTGACTCATAAAGAACAACACTTGACCTCTTTCTCAGAGGGAGGATGGTAAGGGCTTGGTTAGAAATTAGAGAAAAGAAAGAAAGAAAATAGGAAAGAATGAGCAGGTTACTCTTATATTACTAGAAACTTCACTCTCCTTCCACCAGAAATCATAATGCCCATTATTTTAGCCATGTACAGAGAACTGTAGTGATGCTCTTTTCTGTTGCACCATGCTGCAAATAATTTGGATTCCCTTTTAAGCTTGTGGACAGCCTAGTCTGATTTTGGTCAGAACAAGAGAAGAAGGGAGACTTTTCTCAGAGCAAAAATAGGATTTTTGCCACACTTGAACATGAGGTGGTTCAGAGACAGCCTGCATGAGAAGGAACTGAAAAACTCTCAGCTTGGGTTTTGCTTTTTACCCTGACTATTTTGCTAGTACTCCTAAGGACATTTGTATTTTCTGGTCTTAAACCTTGGAAATAAGTCCTGTCACCACGCAACTCAACTCCCTCCTCTCCCATTCACTTAATGACTTTTTGCACTGGGCAGCAAAGTGTTTTAAACCATACTGCTGTGCCTATCCCATCTCCTGAAACACCCAAGTGAGGGTAACATTACCCTCACAGCAAGTCATGTACTGCTCAGTCACCCTCATGGATTTCACAGCTCTTCACACACAAGTGATGCCTAGCCCCAGCCCTCTGAGGTAGTCGTGAGCCACATGTCACAGAACAGGAAGCTGAGGGACAGCTGTGGGAAGTGACTCGCCCACAGTCCCCTGGGGCAGGACAGGGAAATCTGATTAAAGAAAGGGTTCTCAGAAGCTCTCCAAGTGTGAGCTGCTGCCAAAATTCACAAAGGAAAAGCAGGTTAGAAGCAAAGCTCTTTATTAAAGAAGTGCCCAGATTTTTTCAAGAGTAAAAGAATTTGTCTCAAGGCAGGTGTGTCCATGAGGGCTGGTTTTTGTAGCACTGAGGAATTTGCGTGGAAGAGATTGGCAGCTTGCCATGGGGCAGAAGAAAGAGAAATTCATGCCCATTATTGTGCTCACTTTTACTGTCTTCTCTTTTGTTGTGTTTTCGTGATTTTGTTTTGGGTTTTTTTGTTGTTTTTTTTTTTCCCGTTGCTCTGTGGTATCCTTCCTCTCTCCTCAGAAATCTCGTTGTAATATCCCCTGGTCTCTGGCTTTCTTGACTGCAGTCGCCCTCACCATGTTCCACACCCTCCTGATTCCACACTCAGTTCTCTCCCCTTGGTGCCAGAGAGATGAGCAAGCATGCAGTCCTGCACCCACGTCTGCAGCTCCCTGCCCGTGCTGGAAGTGACTGTGGGGATCTGGCCTGCAGGCTCTGGGCAGGTCGGCAGAGCAGACATTGGCCGTGCTCATCCTGCTCGCCTGCTTTGCACACACAGTTTGACATTTACGAAGTGCCTTCCAGAAAAACTCATCAGGGACAGAGGAGCTGCCACAGACATCAGGAAAAAGGCAATAAAAAAGTCAAAAGGGATGCTTGAGTAGCCTGCTTAGTTCTGGAAACAGAGGCTGTGCTACTCTGCCATATTACTGATGCATGGGATGTAGAAATGGGGACCACAGCCAAGTTATCTTTGCTCAGGTGTCATTTGTGGAAGATCAAAGATGGATCCAGACATCTTGTAATAGCAAGAAGGAACAGGAAAGAATAGCAACTGTTGCCCAACTGCCAAGAAAGAGGCAAAGGCATCACAGAGGAAGGTGCTGGAGTCAAACAGAGATGACAAGAATTCATGTTTTCGTTTTGAGAGAAGTCAGCACTGAAGGATGACAACACAGCTGGGGGATGTCAGCTAAAGAGCTGACTGTGACCTCTCAGGAATGGGAGAGCTGAGATCAACCCTCCCTGGTGTGAAAATCTCTTGGGGACAGTTCTGACAGAGACATGGGATACCTATGCATTTTCTGGGATTATTGAAGGAGAAAGCCTTGTGAAGGGCTAGGATCTGAGCAGGTGTTCACGCTTGGGAAGTTCAGGAGATTGACCTCACTGTTAATCAGAATACCAGCTGCAAAATGAACTCGCATACATTCACTGCCCCAGGAATGACCCTATTCCAATCCAGAAAATGTTCCCTCCTTATTTCAGGCTTTACATTACCTCTTAGTCCTGGGCCTCTCCTAAATGCACTTGGGTATTCATGCTTGGGTCCATTATGAACAAAGGTTGTTAAACCTTGTCATGTACAATATGTCTAGCTGGAGTTTCCTTAGGCCCCCAGAGAAGGAAAAAAGGGGCCTCCATGACACTTCTCCTTGGCAATAGCACAAATAGCCTCTGCCTCTGGGCCTGGTCTGTAAGAAGGGCATTTTCCAAAACCAGATCACATGTAACTTTCTATGACCTTGTAGCCTTTAGTTTTCTAACTTTAGTTTTATGAATGAATCTCTATTAAAAGCGGGGGGTAAATGTTTTTCCTTTGTCCCTCTTTCAGTTTACAAATTTGTCTTCTCCTATAGCCAGCTGTTAAAAGATTGGTTCTGCCCCTGCTTTCACCTTTCCTGTTTTATCAGCTGAGACGTCAAACTGAGGGCCTGACCACTTGGTGTTAAAGATCCATGGCTCTTTTTGTAAGGCGGTGGCCTGGCCAACTCTAGACTCTAAATGGTGCCTTGTCTTACAGTTTGAGTTAGCCTCTCACACCCTAAATTGCAAGGCGTCATTGCCTTGAGCAATGAACAGCTTCTCTGTCCTAATT